GTCTTGGAAAACAACCCTTATACTTTTCCAAAAATTTTATTTGTTAACAATAATCAAATAAAACTTTGAGCAAGGTGGACAACTGGTCTGATTGAGGACATTGTTATATAGGGGAAAAAAATTTTTTTTTCAAATCCCAAAGTCATAAATGCTTATTATAGAAAATTTGAAAAAGCAGAAAAATATAAAGAAGAAAATGTTTTAGATTGTGCAAATCCATAGTTGCACAATCTAGATATAATGTTAACATTTTGTGGGATTTCTTTCAGGTTTTTTTAAATATGTAAAATTGAAATCAATATAACATTTTAAAATGCATTTTCCTATTTAGATTTGGGATCTTGTTCCCATAAAGGTAGGAATGATGCTGTGTATTTGGGATGTATTCAGAGTAATCTTCGGTTCTAAGTTGTATTGAATATGTTTTGTACATAAATAATAACTTAAATTTTAGCATTTCCCTCACTGGGAAATTTAAGGAATTAGAGGAGAACAGTCATACTTAAGATTGCCAAATCTCTTCCATTGTGATTTCTGGCATCTAAGTCATTTATTAAAATGTGTGTGATGAACTGGAAGGAGTTTTCCTTTCGATGATTTGCTATCTTAAACTCTGATCTCAACACAAGAATGCATTTTTCTGAAAGGGTTTTAAAAGGGTTTTATTTCATTCCTGAACTTTTGAAAGCATAGGAGAATATCTGTTTTCTTTTGCTAATTTGTAATTTTAAAGGCATTTTCCCCATTTCTGACCACATATACAAAAGATTAATAGCATTAGTTTTAAATTAATCATTCTAATATCTACTTCTAAAAGCTTATTCCTTTAAAATGACTTCAACCTACCATCTACTTAAATGTTAAAATGATATACAGCATTAAAGCAGATATAAGGCATAAGAATATTTAGAATTGATTTTAATGGTTCAATTGCAAATCTTTTCAAGAGCTGAAATACCTTTTGTGTCTCTCCCATGCTAGGTTTCTAAAATGCAGTTCTGGTCCAAGAGGTCTATGGTGGGCTTAGACGTTTCCATAGGTAATTCTGAAGCCCATCCAGGCTTGAGAAGCACTGCTGTTAGCTTAAGGATACCAAAAGAACAATTCTCTCTCTCTCTCTCTCTCTCTCTCTCTCTCTCTCTCCAGCTCTTGTGCTAGCCTGGAGAGGCAGATGAATAGTTGACTTCTGTTTTTCAATTTCTGGGGGGGGCCTTGACAGTTTGGGCGATGCCCTCTCCTACCCTCTTCAGAGTAACTGAATAAGTGACGAAAGGGAAGACCCCATCCCCTTCCAAAGACCTACCACTTCTTTTGCGGAAGTGGCCACACATCATTTTTCTCACTTAGGAAAATACAAAATGTTTCAAGAGCCCATTGCTTCCAGGAAGTTCACAGTGAACATAAAAGAAATATAGACTAAAGAAAAATCCACTGGCTTGTTTCCCTTTTGGCCAACTCACCACAGGACTCTGGGTTAATCTGGAGAATCTGCCATTGATAATCTTTTTCTCTTGGTTTGATATTAGTGCTATTACAAAGAGGTCAGAATGGCTGGGAGAGGGAGGATAAGATGGCAAATGTGAGCCCAAAGCAATTTTTTGGTTACTACAAAGGTAACCAAAGATTCCCAGTTGATAGCGCTTTTTGTGAGCTAGTTTATATAGGTAGATACTTTTTAAATAAATGATTACAGGATCAGGGGACAAAAGTAGAGCCATTGGGTTGACACAACTGTCTACGCCAGGCATTGGAATTAATTTAGAAAAAAGCCAGCAGCTTGCATTTAACATCTTGAAAACGCTTATGCAATGTCTTCCCCCAACCACAAAGGAAAAATATAACCACAGGACAAATTACTCTTTGAATATTTGATGAGATATAAGTAGCCACAACAATAACACTTGTGCTAAGATTAACGTTTGAGTAGCTTTAAAGTATTTTTAGTTCTTTTAATCTGAAATTGTTTAGACTATCTTCAGAGAAACTTCTCAACTGTTTTCTTACTGGAAATAGTTGAAAAGCTTTATAAGGCCAAGGTTACCCAGCCAGTTTGATTTGTATCTTCTTTGAGAGAGACAGAGTGAGAGAAGAAACGAAGTAACAGCAAACATTTGTCAAGCAAAGGGCTGAGAGCTTTGCAGAGAAATAACAGATACATCTGACTATAGAGATTGTCCACCTTCATTTCTAGAAATCAAGTTTGCTTGGTGTACCTTGGAGAAGTAGGTGCTTTCAAATGGTCCTCCCACAAGTCTTAGCAGCTAACCAAGGCCAATGATTCTCAGTCAACTAACCCAAGGAGTTCTTTAAAGTTAACCAGGACGTCTCCACAAAATCTCATACAAAGTCCTGTAACAATAAGCCACAGAAATCTAATAAAATAAAATGCACTAAATTAAATGTAAGACCAATAGCAGCCCTTGAGGTTTTTTTTTGGTTTTTTTTTGTTTTTTTTTTTTGAGACGGAGTCTTGCGCTGTGCCCCAGGCTGGAGTGCAGTGCCGCGATCTCGGCTCACTGCAAGCTCCGCCCCCCCGGGTTCACGCCATTCTCCTGCCTCAGCCTCCCAAGTAGCTGGGACTACAGGCGCCCGCCACCTCGCCCGGCTAATTTTCTTGTATTTTTAGTAGAGACGGGGTTTCACCGTGTTAGCCAGGATGGTCTCGATCTCCTGACCTCATGATCCGCCCATCTCGGGCTCCCAAAGTGCTGGGATTACAGGCTTGAGCCACCGCGCCCGGCCGAGCCCTTGAGTTTTATAACAGGAATTAAATAACCAAAAAAGAGGGGAAAGTATATGCAGAACAGTCAGTTTAGAAATTAATATTTCTGAAGGACTGAGGATTCTACAAAGACAAAGCCAAAATTTTCATGGAAGAGGCGGCACAACTATGTTACATAAAATCAGCTGGAACCTTTCTAAGGCAAGAAGTAAAATCAGAGGCAGCGGTCTCCCAGCCCTTGTTTTCTTTCAAGCAAAGCAAGCAGTGATAGGTTGTTCCCGTGGGCAACTTTGGCTAGAATTAGTGTCCTACTAGGAGAGTCCATGCCTATTCAAAATGGCAAAGAGCTCCTGCCTGCGTTATGACTACTGCTCTCCTGATTTTTCCTACCAGACTAATGACAGACTGCCCCACTGAGAAGGGTCTAGTGGAGCACAGGTCACCAGCTGGGTAACATTCAGAAAGTTAGTCTTCCTATGCTCATTTTCCCGGGCTGTTACAGAAGAAGACTGGAAGAGGTAATTTCCAAGGTTCTTCCCAGCTCTGAAGTTGTGTGTCAAAGGGAGGGGCGATGGATGCACACAGAAGAGGAAGTGTTTCTGACCTGGTATGACCCTCTCCTGCCCAGCATCGTGACAGGAATCAGTGCTATGATTTTTAGGTGGGAAAGCACAGAATCCCCTAAAAACATGGGATTTCATGGTGGCTTGGCAAGTGACTTGAGCCAGACTCTCACAGTAGAATGACTTCCCGTTGTGCCTGAAAGCCCCTTCAAAGTGACCCAAAGGAGAGGTAAAGACATTTATTTAGGAAGTAGAAGATGCAAGTCACAGTGGAGAAGGTTATAACAGCATTGGGTACATTCTGCCAGCGCATCAGTGAAGTGTGGCTCATCCCAGGCACAAACCACATCACAACCTACTCAGGATTGTGCTGGATGATTTTGCAATTGTTTGTTAAAACAACAAACCAACGTGATTCCCACACTTGCCCTTGTCTTTTACTGTTAGCAACAGTCTAGTCCTGACAGGTGTGCCAAACCCACAGCCAAGGATATCTTGAAGACTCCAACTTCCTATACCTTCATGCATCTTAAATTAGGAGGAGGAGGTGGATGGGGTTACATCTGCCAATTTTTAAAATTTTTAAGTTTTTGGTCCCAATTCAGAGACTTTGTAGGTATGGAGATAACCCAGCAGGAAGTCATGTTGCTTCAGATTTGCTAGGGTAATGGTTGGCTTTAAAGTAAGGAGAATGCAAGAGATCGTGAAGCTTGTGATGGGCCCATTTTCCTGACTTTATAGTAAATTTTAGTACAATCACAGGGAAGTCTGAAATTTTACAAGAAAGCTGACTGGATCCTCCTCAGTTGGATTTTGGCTGCATCTTGCAAGTCCTCCCCTCGGGGAGCACACAGTGAGGCAGGTTCTTTGCCATAAATTGTGGAATAGCGGCCTGGCGACTGCAGGCCGGGAACTCACTAAAGCATACTTAGAAAGAGCGGGGACAGAGAGTTGAAGGAGGAGGTTGCAGAGCGGCAGAGTGGCACGTGCAAGCCCACAGGTGGAAATTTCTCCCGTGACTCAATCCCCCGCCTTAATTCACTTCTCTGCGACCTATCTCCATCTCTGTAAGATGGAAAGACATTAAAAGCACCGCCTCCACCTCCCCAACTTTGAGAAGTAACTTGTCTTGCGGGGAACTTTTCTGGAGGAAGGGTGGGGTGTGCAGCCCTGCCTGGAGAGGGCCCCAAAGCGCCAATCCACTGCAGAGACAGAAGGCCGCGTACCAAGGAGGCCGGCTAGCAGCGGACTCGGGCGAACCCACCCTCGCGATCTGCCAAGTCTGTCCCCAGGGGAGGTCCCCCTTTCGGGAGGAAGCTTTTAAGGGGATTATCAAAATCACCCTAGCGCTTCCTTCACTCCTTCCTTAGAGCCGGAGGGCAGTGAGGACCCGCGGAGTCATCTATCTTGCCCCCGTCGCAGGCAGGGATCCAGGGGGCGTTGCTGCAAGGGGTCCCCCGGGGCGCGGGAGGCGCCGGACGCCAGGGTCTGCTGTCAGCCCGCAACAGCGTTTCGTCCGGGGAGGGAGGCCCGGGTCGGGGGCAGCCGTAAGCCCCCGCTCAGCCTGCTGCCGCCGGGGACTTGCGCGGCCGTGGCACCGCGGGAGGGGGCGGCCAGGGGCTGGCGCTGCCCGGCGGCGCCGCGACCGCCTTCCTTTGCTGCGTCCCGCCGGCCCCCAGCCTCGCTCACCGCTGCCGCTTCTCCCCGCCCAGCAGCGCGCCAGGACCATGTCGGCGGAGACCGCGACCGGCCCCACGGAGGACCAGGTGGAGATCCTGGAGTACAACTTCAACAAGGTCGACAAGCACCCGGATTCCACCACGCTGTGCCTCATCGCGGCCGAGGCCGGCCTTTCCGAGGAGGAGACCCAGGTGCGTCCCCACACGCGCCCAGCGCGCTCCGACCCCTGCCCGAGCTGAGCCGTCTCGCGGCTGGGCTGTCCTGGTCGTCCGTGCCTCCCGCTGGGCTGCCCTCCCCACGATCTCCCATCGCTTCTGCCCGCATCCGGGGGCCCAGACCCTGCATGGCTCCCGCCGCCACCTCCCCGCTTCCACGTTCCCATGGGCGCCCAGTCTCCCCGCCACCCCCATCCAGCCGTGGTTCCCCGGGAGCTGCGTAGAAACCCCGTGGTCACCAGTCCTTGCCTTTCCACTCTCCCCGGCAGCCCGGGATACACGCTTTCTCCCTCTGCGAGTTGGGAGCAGCGTCTCTCGCCTGTCCCTGTTTCGCCTTCCCGGCTCTGTCCCCTCTGGTCTGTCTGCGAAACCTTCGGGAAGATCTATTCTAGGCGGGAATGTCAGAGCTGGAAGGCTCCCCAGAGACCAGCTAGCCATAAATTCAGTCCTCCGTTTGGCGAACCAGGAGGCTGAGGCCGGGAGGGAGGGCGCTGTCAGGATGGCAGGAGCCGTGAAGCTTGCTCTCTCCACCACATCACACTGCAGCGTCCCCCGAGCTGCAGAACTCACACTGCACGGAGCCAGGGAGATGTGGTTCCGATTTTTTAAAAAATTCCCCAGCTCTAAGGTTTAGAGGATTTTCGGGGCGTTTTATAAGACGGTAGATAGCTGATCTTTCAGCTGACAGGAGCGGCAGTCCCCCCAAGTGCATTCATTGACTTATCTATTTTTTAAATGCTCCTATATCATCCCGAAAAATGCCAGGTAAAGAATGCAACACTACCTGTGGTTGTTCACCACAGGTGTAATGTTGGAGCCTTTAGCTGACTTTTAAAATCCTGTCTAAACTCCAACTTCTCTTTTCCCTTTGGTAATGGAAAGACAATTCTTTAAGCATGATAGACTACTTGGAACCAATCTAGCATCTCTCCTGTGGGTCCCCAAAGCACTTCACACTTCTAACCTCAACTCTAAAGCAGAGACGTTCTTATTTTTCCTATTTTATATACCAGAGCATCAGGCACTTGTCCTGTCACCAGGAGCCATGCTCAGTTGAGGTTTAGAAGCTTGTAATGGATCCAGTAGATCCTAGGACCAAGACCCTGGACCTCAAGTCCAAAATTATTTTTACTAATTAAGCCAGAGGCACTCTTTGGAGAGCTTGTCCATAGACGATCCTGTCATTTACAGGTCAAATAGAAAGGCAAACATATTTATTTTTAGCAAATGGACCAGCTGTCTGACCAACGAAAACCAGAACTTAATGGAAGGTGATTTACTGTAACCCAAGTCTAACAGCTCATGTTTCTTGGTATCTCCTGAGAAGGCAGCCTGCTGAAATTTTATCATTTGAAATCCCACGCTATGCTTAGAAAAGAGGAGTGATCATGAAGACAACTTATCTTTTAAAAACAAGGCTGTGAAATATTGTGGGCACAGCACCAACAAGAGGTCCAACCCCTTCTCGGCCTCTGATTGTGCCTGGCGAGTTGCCATCAGTCACCTTACCTATAAAGCAGCATAATTACATTGACCTTTGTAATGGCTAATACTTGCCAGGCATTTTTCCAGGCACTGTCCAAGTAGTAAATCATTTATTTGTCACAACAATACTGTGAGGGTAGATACTATTAGCCCACTTGTCCGGATAAGGCAACTGAGGCACAGAAAGATTAAATATACTTGCCCAAGACAGCAGCTAGAAGGCAGCAGGACCAGGATTTGAACCCTGGAAGCCCAGACTCTTAACTACCATGCTATGCTGTCTCCACAGAGGAGGCATGGAAATCACTAGACCAGCAGGAAGAAAGAACTGACAACTCACTTGGTGTTATCTTTCCCCTGCATTAGGCAACAGTCCTCCCAGGCTATATTCAGCCTTTCCTCAAGATTCACATGATATTAGAAAATTGAAATAAAATCTGGTTAGGGGTAGGAAGAAGAAAAGGGCACCTGCTTTTTTTCTGTGACTGAGGTCAGCCAATTCAGACCTCTGCATAGCAGGTTCTTCTGCACCTCGCAGGCAGTCCTCCCATTTCCCCCCTTCTGCCATTCTCAAATAAACAAGTGGTAGACCCAGCCCCAAAATGAGTAGATGTGGGGTGAGTCAGCCTCTTAGCAGGGCCCCTGGCTTCCTCTTCCTGCCACAGGACCGACACCTTCTTCCTCCCTACGGTGACCACAGCTTGGCTTGCCCCTCTGTCTTCCTGCCTTGACCTGCAGGGAAGCATCTGGAACCCCAGAGCTTAGAGACAGGCAGCACTTAGCAAGCTCAGAGAAAGAGATTTCCTAGGAACCACAGGCTGCCTGCTTGCCTTTACTGGATTGAGTCTCATCTTTCAATTTCCCATTCTTTCCCCTCTCACCCCACTACCCCCATGGGCACTGGTGAATGAGAATGATTTCTTCTTTCATCTTCTCAAACAACATTTATATTTTTAAAGAGTATCTTCTATGAAAAAGGAAGTGTCTGGCTGGGCACAGTAGCTCACACCTATAATCCCAGCACTTTGAGAGGCTGAGGCAGGAAGATTGCTTGAGGCTAGGAGTTTCAGACCAGCCTGGGCAACATGACAAGATGCTGCCCATCTCCACCAAAAAAAAAATAAATAGAAAATTAAAAAATCAGCCAGGTGTGCTGGTGTGTGCCTGTAATCCCAGTTACTCTGGAGGCTAAGGCAAGAGAATCCCTTGAGCCCAGGAGTTCAAGGCTGCGGTGAACTATGATCATGCCACTGTACTACCTAGCCTGGGTGACAGAAGGAGAACCTGTCTCAAAATAAATAAGTAAATAAAAATAAAAATATTAAATATTTAAAAATATTACAAAAAGGAAGTGTCTTCTGGAGACGTATGCCCAATGATGAACTTTCAGTCATTAAAATTATTTTTGTTTATAGCAGGTCTCGTAAGGACCCTTTAAATAACTCCATGGAGGCCAGGGCCTGCTGGGTCTACATATAAGTAGTGTCTGATATTGATACTTCCCCTGTTTTGTTTTCTTTCTTTCCCTTTCTTTCTTTCTTTCTTTCTTTCTTTCTTTCTTTCTTTCTTTCTTTCTTTGTTTTTCTTTCCTTTTTCTATTTTTGGAGACAGTGTCTCACTCTGTCATTCAGGCTGGAGTACAGTGGCACTCCCATGGCTCACCTCAGTCTTGGCTTCCCAGCCTCAGGCATTCCTTCTACCTCAGCCTCCAAAGTAGCTGGGACTATGGGCATGTACTACCACCACATGTGGCTAATTTTTAAGCTAATTTTTAAATTTTTTGTAGAGATGGGGGTCTCACTATGTTGCCTGAGCTGGTTTCAAACTCTTGGGCTCAAGTAATCCTCTTGCCTTAGTCTCCCAAAGTGCTGGGATTGCAAGCGTGAGCCATCGCACCCAGTCTCCCCGTCTCTGTTCTTACTAGTGTTGCTGCTTTCCATGGGAAAGGGTCACCAAAGCCAAACTAACATTTGTTTCATATGCCTGAGTCCTCAACCCACCCCAACACCACCCACCTCCAGAAATGGAATCATATTCTTAACTTTCCTAGAACAAGCAATACTTCAGTACAAGAAAAATAAGCCTGAGCTGCCCAGTGCTCTTGCAAGATTGTTACCAGAACTGATTCACAGGGCTGATACTTGGGCAGGGACAAGAGGGACTAAGAAGTTGAAACATTCTCTGTCTTGGGAGATTTGCTGACCTCTTTATAACTGTCCCACTTCAGGACAAAATTCTCTGTGGGGGTGGAGGTGGCACCCATAAGAACTCAAAGTAAAGTGAAGGGCGCTGTAATTGAAATAACTTTCTAAGTTGCATTTACTGGGATGTTAGAATGGGTTTTTCTCATAACGGTAATCTAAATATCTCCTAGATTTACATTACCTGAAAACTTACAGAATCCCAGCCTTATGTCTTTTATTTTGAAGTCAGTGTTAGAAGAGGCTGGGAAAGCTCCTTCCTTAGCCCCCTGGGAGGTTGGGATGATCTGGTGTTTTCTATTATCACACACACACACTCTCTCTCTCTCTTTCTCTCTCTCTCTCTCTCTCTTCAATTCAAGCACAATGTAACTGGAATTGGTTCTTAGGGAGGTCTCCAAGTATTTTTATCTCCTCTAGATGTCCTGAGCTTGTTCCCAGAACCCAGTGGTTTTAGTCACTGGATGTTTTATCAGTGGAATAAAGACCTCTAAAGGTCTCTTTCTGAAAAGAATGAAATGTTAGTTGCTAGAGAAAAGGACAGGAACAATGTTTCTTTGCCCCAGCCCCTTCCCATCACAGTGTCTAATTATCATCTGTTTACTCAGAGTAAATAAATCTCCATCAATGGGCAAGGGTAATGAGGACATTCATTTATAAGCAAGCAAGGGATGAATGTCTTTCCCAGTGGATGACTGAAACAAAGAAGAGAAGGATAAAGCCAGGTGGAAAATTAGCACTGATGTGAGTGAGATTGATAAGACACAACTCTAAAGGGAAAAAAGCAAGCAAGGTATTTAATGATTTCTGTTGGATTGCAACTGGTTTTGCCAAATTATTTTATATATACTTGATTTAAAATATGCGTCTTCAAAAAATCATTGAGCTTTTCTTGAACCTCCTCCCATCCCCAATGTTAGGGCTCAATTTGTTAAGCATTTGGGTACCAACTCACAAAACCACAAATGTCCCTGCTGAAGTTATTTTCAGTAACGGTCCATCAATATTCTGCTTCATTACATAGTGTAAAGACGTGGGTGGCTCTTTTAAATGAGACCAGCTCAACCATTTTGTCTTAAATGAAATCTGATAGAAAGTGAGATTTTCCTCCTCCAGATTTTAATTAGTCAGTCTTTACAATGCTGCCATTTATTCAGCTCTAGTAACTGGAAATCCTATTTAATCAGACCTTGTATCCTTGAAACCCCCCACAGTGCTACCTCATTAATGAAACTGGAACCTTGCTGCTCTCATACCAGAATCCAGAGTTAACTAAACACATGCACACAGGTTACAGAAGAAAATGGGCCCACTCTTAGCAGTATAATTTCAATTGAAGCTGCCAAAGTTGCATGAGTTCTCTCTTCTCATGAAGGGTAGTGATCCCTAGGAGCAAAATATGGCACCCAAAAAGTAGCCCCCAAAGAGAAGTCTTTCCCCATGATAGTCTGCTGTCCTTGTCTTTAGATTACTTTTCTCTACTGCCACCCCAGTGTAAAGCTATGTAAGATCTTGACAACTGTGTGAGGCATTTCAGTGTGTAAACTCTGCTGTCCTTGTCTTTAGATTACTTTTCTCTACTGTCACCCCAGTGTAAAGGTATGTAAGATCTTGACAACTATGTGAGGCATTTCAGTGTGTAAACTCTGCTGTACAGGTGGGTGAGGTGTAGGTGTATTCCCATGCTGTTCAGCCAGCTTAGCATTGATGTGGAGCCCAAAACAGTCCTGCAGAGCCTTATCCCCCATTCAAGTTCAACAGCCTCTCCTCTAGGCCTTGCTCCTTCTCCCCCTGTGGTTCTCACATTTTCTTCTGATCTTGGGCTTATACTGAATTCCCTTTCAGCTTCCTAGAGCCTATCCTGTTCATTCTGAGTATCTGGATAGGCATCAGCCCATGCTATGTGGGGAGCCCTCTAGAGCTTTCCCACCATCCTGATATCTCCATCAGCACATCCCAGATCTGGCATCTCACAGCTGTGCTCTTTCTGCTTTCTTCCTGTTTCTCGTCCCCTTACCCCTAGAACAGGTGAATTATAGAAATACCAGAAGGGACAGTAGAAACACCCTAAGCTTACCTTTTAATTTACAGATGACTGGTGCTCTATTTAGGGACTTCCTCAAGTTCTCATAGCCAATTAGTTACTCTAGAGCTTCCTGTTGGCAGAGCCCAGGACTGCAGATCCCTGGGGGGTCACCTACCACACAGCCTGCCTACACACCACTGACACACAAATATCATCCTTCTCAATGTACTCCATGACATGTGAATGGTTGGGAAGCACAGGAGAACAGAGCTTGGGGGAGGTGCTGACTTCCCATAGAGCTCTCTCCTCATCCTTTCCAATGTAGGTCAATGCTTGCTCATCTGTTTCCTCACTAGTCTCTCTTCAAAGTTGTTTTGCTTTCTTTTTTTTATTCCCAGTTTCCTCTTGACCAATCTGGTCCAGACCCTGGCCCTATCCCCAGCATGGTTCTCCTGTTCTCCTCTTTGGGGAACTCTGTACCACCCCAGTTAGCAAGATAAAGGCAGCCACTGACTTCTCAAGAGTATACCACACTGCCTTACAACATATAGGCATGTTCTAGGCCTCATATGATGCCATGTCTAGAAACATCCTATCTGGGGCCTTCTGTACATCCATGGTCACTTCTGTAAGGTGTGAATATTTGGGTCATACGGAGCTGAGAGATTCTGAGCAAAGTGGTAGACCCACTTCAGCTTCTCTCACTGCTCGGTGGCCCTGGAGCAGGACAGATTGGGCTGGCCTACTCCAGGCATCCGCAAGGAGTGCTCTGAGGTTGTGCAGTGCTCAGTTAACTATTAATCTTATTCAACAAATTCTTACTAACTTCTACCAATGAGGAAGGCCTTTGGCGAGCTGAGCATACATTGATGAAATATAGCAGCCATAGAGATCTATCTGGGGCATTAAGGATATGCTTTAACTTCTTTTATTTATTCAGCAAATATTGATTAATTTCTAACTCTTAAACCTTTGTACTAGGGGCTAAGGATGCAGTGGTGATAGGATGAATACAGTCTCTGCTTTCATGGAGCTTACATTCTAGAAGGGAATGTAGATTAAAAATAAGTGAATACACAAGTAAATCATGACAGATGCTAAAAGTTCTGTGAAAGTAACAAAATACTAAATTGGGAAGTGAGGAGATGCGTGGGAAACCCACTTTAGACAGAGTGATCAGGGCAGACTTCATTGAGAAGGTCCTGTTTAAGCTGAGATGTGAGGATGACAGGGAGATCATCAGATAAAGAATAAAGAGAGAACATTCTAAACATAATATAGCATGTGCAGAGGTCCTGAGGCAGGAAAGGTGTCACGGTGAGAGCCATCCCTATGGACACGTCCCGTGATTCTCTCCTTTCCACTTGTGCCACAGAGGCTACCTTTTAGAAAGGGAACAGGCATTTCAGTTTTTCTGTGTGTGACAAATATTTTTGCTCATTTCTCTCTTCCAGAAATGGTTTAAGCAGCGCCTGGCAAAGTGGCGGCGCTCAGAAGGCCTGCCCTCAGAGTGCAGATCCGTCACGGACTAAGGAGATGGCAGGCACTGACAGCTTCACTCCATGAAGGCCATCTGCTGTTTCTCTCCTCTGCTTAACCAAGCTATTGTGGTTTTTCAGCATAGTGTTGTATGTTCCGTTGCTAGCTGTCCTGCTATTTAACAGTGTTGTATTTTTTTCTAAATGTACATAGTTAGAAAAGAAAATAACAATAGGAAGCTACATGTATCTTCTGTGTAAAGCAGTGGCTTCACTGGAAAAATGGTGTGGTTTGCATTTCCCCTTGAGTCATGATGACAGATGGTGTGAAAACCATCTAAGTTTGCTTTTGACCATCACTTCCCAGTAACAATTTGCTTTCATAATCCATTTGGCAATCCAGGCCTCTGTTGAAAAGATAATATGAGGGAGAAGGGAACACATTTCCTTCTGCACTTACTTCCCTAAGTCACTTTCCTTATGTTTCATCTAATACAATGATGGTTGAGTTAAAATACAGAAGGGGTGTTTGAGTATTCAGATTTCATAAAACACTTCCTTGGAATATAGCTGCATTAACTTGGAAAAAAGCCTGTTAGGCTGGAAGACAGAAACTCCAACTGGCAAAAAAGCAAGGATCTAAGAAAAAAAACCACCAAAGGTCTTGAATTCACTGTATTTAAATGCATTGGTTAAGTTTATTTTGCTAAATAAAGTGAACTACTTTTTGTCTCTAAAATGATATTCTAAATAAAACCTTAACTTTTTGTTGAAGATGCACTGAGTGAGTTCTCTGCAGGTTTTCAACCAAATAAGAAACATATCAAAGAGAAACAAAGTGGCTCCTATATGGTATGGGCTGACTGACCAGAAGAGTTGCCATTTTCTAAATTCTTGCTACTCAAAGTGTGGTCCAAGACCAGCCTCATCAGCATTAGCTTTAAGCTGGTGAAAAATGCAGAATCTCAAACCCCATTCCAGACCCAGTGAATCAGAACCTTCATTTTTAACAAGGCTCTCAAGTGGTTTATATGCACATGGAAGTTGGAGCAGCACTGTTCTAACAAACTCTACAGTCAATTTGCATCCATTTACTATCATAGCACACTAGATGTCTGCTATGGCCTGAATGTGTCCTGTCCCCCCGCCCACCCCCATCCCCCACCCCTGACAAAATTCATATGTTGAAACTTAATCCCTAAGGTGATGATATTAGGAGGTGAGGCTTTTGGGAGCTGACTAGGTTATGAGGGCCCCACCCTCATGAATGGGATTACTGCCTTATAAAAGAGGCCTGAGCAAGCTTGTTTGCCATTCTGTCATGTGAGGATACATAGAAGGCACCTGGGAGGAATGGACCCTCACCGGATTGAGGGTTCACCATGGTCTGCTGGTGTCTTGATCTTGGAGTTCCCAGCCTCCAGAACTGCGAGCAGTAAATGTATGTTGTTTACAAATTGCCCAGTCTAAGATATTTTGTTATAGCAGCCAAACAGACTAAGACACCATTTTAACAGTCTATCAGTTAAGATTGTGTTTGATTGCATGGAAGAGTAACTTGATTACAATGGATTAAGCAAATAGGCTTGTTTCTTTGTTCTCTTTTCTTTTCTTTCTTTCTTTCTTTTTTTTTTTTTTTTTGAGACAGAGTCTCACTGTGTTGCCCAGGCTAGAGTACAGTGGTATGATCTTGGCTCACTGCAACCTCTGCCTCTCAGGTTCAAGCGATTCTCCTGACTTAGCCTGCTAAGTAGCTGGGCTTACAGGTATGCACCACCACACCCAGTTAATTTTTGTATTTTTAGTACAGATGGGCTTTCGCCATGTTGGCCAGGCTGGTCTCAAACTCCTGGCCTCAAGTGATCCACCCGCCTCAGCCTCTCAAAGTGCTGGAATTACAGGTGTGAGCCACTACACCCAGCCGTTTCTTTGTTTTCTTGATTGTTTTTACGTAAGACATTACCAGGTAGGTAATCTAGGGCTGTTAGAGTAGCTCCCTAATGTTGTCAAGGAGCTGGGGTCATTCCATCTTCCCATTTTACTATCTTTAGTACACAGCTTTTGTATTCAT